CTCATTTCCCTTGTGATTTCTTCTTTGATCCACTGGTTGTTTAAAAATGTGTTGTTTAAGTCCCACTTATCTGTGGAATTTCGAGTTTTCCTTGTTATTTCTAGTTTTATCCATTATGGTCAGCGAAGACACTTTATATAATTTCAGTCTTTTAAAATTCATTAAGACTTTGTTTTGTGGTCTCCAATACCTTGCTCTGTCCTGGAGAAGAACCCATAAGCACTGGCGATGAATGTACATTCTGTTGTTGGGTGAAGCGTGCTTTGTCTGTCTGTCAGGTCTAGCTGGTTAACAGTACTGTTCAAGCCCTCTAGCAGTTCCTTACTGATCTTCTGTCTAGATTTCTATCCATTACTGAAGCCTCACAATCTGCTAGTTGTTAAAATGCTTTGACTGGTTTCCAGATTTCTGAACCTTTGATTCTGCCACTTTCTGCTTGGAGTTTTTTTTGTGTTTTGTCAGGGGTTGGCAGTGTGTGGCTGCTTATGTCACCATTTCGCTCCAAACTCTTCTTACCTTCTTGGGTAACAACGTTTAGGTATGCCTTTGTGCAACAGTTTTAATTAGAGTTACTTTTACAATCACAATCTCTAAGTGTCCCTTACTAAGCAAAGTTTAAGCTTGTGATTACTGGTATGTTTGAACTTGTTCATTTATCTTATTTTTTATTTTCTAATTAACAGGCTCTATTTCTTTTTAAACCTTTCCTACCTTAATTCAATTTGTCAAGTTTTTCTGTCCCCTTTCTTCCTAATTCTTTTTGTATTACAGTGCTTAATGTCTAATGTTAAACTAATGTCTCTCTTTCCCTCCTAAACAAAATAGAAAACTAAGCATAACTTCAATTCTTCCCCAAAATGGTTTGTTTTAAAATAGAACTTCTGACAGAAATTATTTTGTTCCTTATTCTTGTATCTCAATTGCCTCTTTCTAAAACAACTAATCCTACTTCCTAGAGTAGTTTTTCCAGAAAGTGCATGTGGGTGATAAACTTTGAGTCCTTTTGTGTCTGAAAATATCTCACACTCACATTTAATGATAGTTGGCTGGATATAAAATTCTGCGTTATTGATTCATGGTTGTCCTGCATTGAATGCTGCTGTTAGGGAAAATGCTGTCTGAGTCTTATTCCTTTGTAGATAAATTTTTTTTTCCTTTAAGGGAGCTCTAGTGTCTTAGTGGATAAGGCACTTGGCTGACCAGAAGGTTAGTGGTTCAAACCCACCAGCTGCTCCATGGAAGGAAAATGGTGCAATCTATTTCCTTAAAGATTTCCAGCCCTGGAAACCCACTGAAGGGAGGGAGGATGTTGCTATGAGTTGGAATTGACTCAATAGTACTGGGTTTTTTTGATTGGAGTAACTTTTAGGATTGTTCTCTGTGTACTTTATACTCTGAATCTTTACTGCCTTATGTTCTTTCTTTTTAAAAAACTTTTTGCTCAAAACCTTACTAATCCCTTTCAGTGGGTACTGAGAAAATGTCTCTTGTTTAAGATAATGCTTATTCATCACCCTCCCTTTTCTTCTAAGCTTGTCTGGGAAGTGGGAGGGTCGCCTACGCTACTGGATGCACCTGGGACCCCATCACCACCCCTGGGTGGCACTACTATAATGCTAGTACCTCTGCAGGTACTGAACCATGTTTCATTTACTCTTTTCTCCAATCTTGTCTCTTTTTTGGAATCTGATGCCTGCAGTTTTGGTCCACTAAGAATTCTTTCATGTTTTCAGTATGGTTATATAGTCCTTTACTTAAAATAATTAAATAATAAATAAATACTTTTCTATGATTTTTAAAATATGGTGCTGGAGTCCCTAGTCTGTCATTCTGAAATCAGAAAACAGAAGTGTTTTAACAGCTCCTTAGACCAGGTCCCTAGCCAAATCACATGTATTCAGGAAGAGAACCCTCACAGCAGAACACCAGCTCCATCCTGCCTCTCACCACAGCTTGCTAACACTGCTGTGGATTCATAGCACTGCTGGCTCCATCAGTCCTGCTCTTGGCTCTTCTATAATGTGCCTTACTTGCATGGTGGGCGGAGATCTGCTAGATAAGCACTGTGATTAAACCAGAGCTCAGAGAGGTAATGTGATGGTTCACCGTTGTGTCACCTTGACTAGGGTATGACTCCCAGTGGTTTGGCCAGACACTAGCCCAGCTGCTGATCTGTAATGTAATGTAATGACCGTTTGTAATGTAATCTATCAGTGGGAAAGGAGTTTCCTAGGGTGTATTCTGTCTTCAGACTATAAATATGTATTCTGTCAAAACTCACTCTACGTGACATTCTTCCTATCGCCTGACTATGGATTTTGAACTTAGCAGCCCCACACAATTTCTTAAATCAGCCAATTTCTTAAATCTCTCCACATACATACACACATATACATGTGTGGGAAAATTCTGAGTTAAGTCACTTCTCTCTCCTGTCTCTGTCCTCTCTCTTCTCCTCTCTCCTCTGTCTCTTCAGTCTCTCTCTCCCCCACGTGCCTTCTCTATCTCCCCATTACAGGTTTCCCTCTCCCTGCGCCATCTCACTCAGCTCCATCGATGTCCCCCTCTCCCTCCATCTCTCTCTGCCGTCTCATCCTTCTCTGTTCAGATCGCTCTCCTTGCAGCTAAAGGAAAACTCAAACAGCACCTCCCTCTGGAAAAACGCAACCTACCAGTTTGGTACGCAGCTTCTGCTGCCATCTCTGAAAGACTAACCGCAGTCATCCAGGTTGTTTCCAACTTTAAGTATTCTTGTTGTTTTGAAGTCATCTGTAAATTAAGCAAAGTACTTCCGACAACAGGAAGACATTAAACATGTAAATAGATTTACTCAAAACAGTGTATTTGGAGAACAGTTACTGGTTAGATAGGATTTAATATTGCACACACCACAATGTGTGAGGGGCACTAACACAGACTGTCTGATGGCCTTTTCTTACCTCAACCCTGGCTCCTATGATCACCTGCCATACTTCATCCTCCTCCTGTGAATTCATTTTCCCCAGTAAACTTGTGTATTGTCGGTACAGTGAGATTAAGGTATAAACAGCCTACAAATGAAGAAAAAATAGGTCTGAGTACTAAGTGAAGCTGATGATAAGAATTGATGAGGTTTATACTCAAGGAGATGGAATGCCTTGTGCCTCACTGAAATGAAATAGAGAGACATCATTCCAGGACATTCTAGGGGTAGTAATTCTAGGATATTGGCATCTCAGCTTGTCAGCAATTCGTATGTAGAAAGAGAACACGATGCAGAGGGAAAACTCAAGAGGCTGAGAAAAATGTGTTTCAAAAAGTACAGGTAAAATCAATATACAAATGAGATTTTTAAGTTATTTTGATTATACACATATTCTCTTTTCCCATTAGGTCACACTGGTGGTTCTCAAACTGCCCTCACAGAAAAGGCTGCTCATGGTGGCGTGTGGACCCCTTTACCTTTAACTGAAGCAGCTTGGCTCTCCTGTTTTATATACTAAGCTGCCACATAGAAGGTTTTTCCCTAAAAAAGAGTTCCTGGACAAAGTCTGAAAACCAGTGGTTTAGATAGGGGCTCATTGGACATCATTGTAGATTCAAAGAATAAATATTTCAGGCTTTGTGAGTCCTATACACTCTTCACGACTACTCAATGCCCTGTTGTAGCCCAACAGCAGCCACAGACAGTGTGTAGACAAACAAGCCTGGCTGCGCTACGAAAATGACAGAAGCAGGAAGCAGCTGGATTGGGCCTGTGGGCCAGTCTGCCAAGTCCGGGTGCAGAGGCTTAAGGCTATTTCCCTTTTGAAGAAGACTTAAACATGACGCCACTTACCTTGGTATACTCGGTGATTGCTTCAATCAGTGCATATGTGGTCTGAGAGAGAAAGGTGGAGGTGCTATCTGTTACCAAAGACACTGCCCTCCTCATTAATGCATCGTTGCTAAGAGAATGAGGCTCTGATTTCTGAAAGACAAAGACACTATCATTCAACTTCTAACCTAATCTCAACCTGAATACTTTGCATAGTAAGTAACATAATTATTAAACTATTCACATTTTCAGCTGCAACTGAACTATGCTTCTTTGTGCCTTTTTTTTTTTTTTTTAAGCTTTATTTTGGCTATTTAAGACAATATATGGAAATAATCCCCAAATATGCTGTTTACCCACTTCCATTCTTTACTTTGGATTAACTTTTAATGTTTTTCTTCATGCTCCTTTCTGCTTT